TTTTATATATATTATTATATATATATTATTTTATATTATTATTATAATATATATATTATATATTATTATTATTATATATATATTATATATTATTATTATATATATATATTATATATTATTATTATTATTATTACTATTACTATTATTATATATAAATATATATTATTATTATTTATATTATATATTTATATATTTTATCGAAGCTTAGATATAAAAAGATTGTCGAAAGTCTAACTGTCGTATGAGTCACAAGATTCAATCTCACACGCGTGAAATACACTTTGTCGTTAAAAATGGAACTACCATAAGTCGGAAAAGTTAATTTAGATTTACAGTTAAAATCGCTTCGAGTGCAAAGGGTTAATCCTCGAGATACCGCTCGGCCGCAATTCGCTGCAGTTCTTGGGCCCGAGCGGCGCAATTAGCGCGCGTTCGATTCGGCGTGCTTCGATTAAAGAGGACCTAATCGTTCGACGATAAGTGTGCTTCGTTTGCTTCTGTGCGTTCTTCTTGGTTCACCGGAATTATTCGAGACGCCGTCGAGGCCATCGATTTCGGCTATCGACGCGCATATTCGCCATCGTCTCCCGTTGGTTCGAGATCGAAAGGTTCGTTTCCAGCTCTCGTTCCGGACGTTATCGCGACCCAGTTCGACTCGAGTGCCGACTCCGGACTTTTATCGGCTCGATTTGATCGAGATCCCGGTGCATTGTCGTTCCTCGGCGAGCCTTTGTTCTTCAACGAAAATCGGCTGGAAAATTGAAATAACAATTATGGTACGAGGATACATCGTTTTTGGAATGTAGGAGCTCTTTGAACGCGAGATGCGTGTGCCGTCCGCGTTATACTAATCACGGATATACGGGATGGTTCACCAAAATAAGGTCGCTTAAATATCTGCTATAATTATGGGGGTACAACAAATATTTTGTATGCTATTTCAATGGTTTGAAATATACATATATATACTATATATAAAAAATATATTATTATATATTTTATTATTATATTAATATATATTATTATATTATATCATATCATTATATTAATATATATTATCATTATTATATTATTATATTATATATTTTATCATATATTATTATATAACAGCGCAATTGCAATTGCGTTTTGCATCGAGTCGATTCAAAGAAACGCATACGTATTTTCATATCGGAAATTAGTCATTCTCGGTAAACGTTTTAATCGCGTTAATACGGGCTGGGGAAGATACGATTGTTCGAATAATAATCCCAGGTAGCTCGCGACGTTTTAAAAGACGTCCATTTTACGTCCGTTTTAAGGCGCCTTACGACCTAAACAAAGAAACATTCGAAAAACATCCCAAAATGAACGTCGTTTCTGAAAAATTTACGTCTTTATATATATATAGTTTATATGAAATAAAAATTATATCAAAACTATATTCATTTCAATATTATATATAATATTATATATTAATTAAATATTATATATAATTATTAAATATATAATAAATATATATAATATATTAATAATATCAATAATATATTATTAAATATAATTATATATATATATTATGTTTAAATATAAATATATATAAAATTATATATAAAAATATAAAAGTTCTATTTCCAAATATATATAACATAATTTTTATATTTTTGTAATAATGAAATAAATACAGTTTTGACATCATTTTTCTTTGCTACATTACTCGCTAATAAAAACGACGCTCCCAACCCGTCCTCCTGTTTCGCAACGTAAGACGTACGGAAGACGTTCGCAGGACGTTTCGTCGGACATTCGCATCGTCCGCCGGTTGCGTATCTCGTTTTTGGCACCGGTCCAAGCTGTCCCGCGGTATCGGCTAATGGGTGGCCGCGAATCCGCCGGTCTCTAACCCGATCACGTAGAGAAGAATGGGGATCCTCTGCGAGTCGCGTCGAACCGTGATCGAATCGTTCCGAGCAGCGTGTTCGCCACGGCTCGCCGGGTCAGGCACAGGGAATGCCGGAAAAGCAGAAAACCGGCGAGCGACCAGAAAAGGAACGAGATCGTATTCGGCTCACGTATCCGCAGCGGGAGAGAGAGAGAGAGAGAGAGAGAGAGAGAGAGAGAGAGAGAGAGAGAGAGAGACTGGTACGGTGATCACGTTCCGCCAACGTGAGACTCCTCTGCCCCGGAATTCCAGGCTGTCGCCGTGTGGCTTGCCTTTTGTGCCTCTTATCTGTTCCCGGAGATGCACCCGGAAACGCAGGCGCATTCCGACGCATGCATTCCGGGGGACGGAGCGAGCCTAACCGATCGTGTACGATCGTTTAGCACCACCGCCGATAATCGGGGGAACAAAAGGCTTGCTTGCCTCGTCGTCGCGAATAATTTCTGATCGACGCGCGATCGCGCCGTTTCTCGACTTTCGGCGGCAGAAATCTCGCTCGTACGGTCGTTTCGCACCGATTTTCCCGCGGCACGCGTTCGACCGAAGGATCGATCTTTTTTTTTCCCTCCCGAATGGGTGTTTCGCAACGGATCGGCCGCAATTGCGGCTCGCGGCTCGCGGCCGAGCCGGCGCCGCGAAACCGTCCGACGCCACGAAAACGTGATTTACGAGCGCCGCCAGTGAAAGTACGCTCCTCCGGGAGGCGTTAACGTTTTACGCGAATTACACGGGAGTCGGTGGCGCCTGCTAATGGTATAATTACCGGACGAACGCGGCGGCGCGGTTCCCGTTCGTCGCCGATCGCCGATCTCCTGGAAAACGATCCGCGACAGCCCGTCGGATCTTATCTCTCTCTGTTATCGTCGCCGCGATCCGGGACGCGAGTCCTCGGCCGTGGAACGAGCCAGGATCCTCGGCCCCATCGGGGGACGAGTCGGATCGATTCGGGAATGCCGACGCGAATCGGCAAAAGCGGGAAACGTGGACGATCGGGAACGAGGAACGACGCGCGTCGCGGAGCGCAGGTTTCCGGGTACGCGTCGGGCCCGGGATAAGGCGACGGAACGCGGAGGGGACGCCGGGGAAAGCAGGGAAATTGTATTTTTTTCGGGAGAACAGTGATTTTTAATAGAAATGATCGGCGGTCGGAATTGAGACCGGAAGATTTGAGAATCACGAGATACGATTCGGAGGCAATTTGGAGGCCACGTGACGCGATTCGGAGACAATTCGGAGGCCACGTGACACGATTCGGAAGCAATTCGGAGGCCTCGTGATTCTATTCGAAGGCAATTCGGAGGTCACATGACACTATTCGAAGATAATTCGGAGGCAATTCGGAGACTACGTGATTCAATTCAAAGGCAATTCGGAGGCCAAGTGATTCGATTCGAAGACAATTCGAAGGCAATTCAGAGGCCACGTAACACGATTCTAAGGCAATTCTGAGGCCACGTTATTCAATTCATAGGCCACGTGATTCAATTCGAAGGCAATTCGAAGGCAGCCTGACACGATTCGGAGGCTATTCAGAGGCCACGTGATTCAATTCGAAGGCAATTCGTAGGCCACGTGATTCGATTCGAAGGCAATTCAAAGGCAGCCTAACACGATTCTAAGACAATTCAGAGGTCACGTGACACGATTCTAAAGCAATGCGGACGGCCATATGACACGATTCAAAGGAAATTCGAAGACCACGTGACACGATACGAAGGCAATTCGAAGACAATTCGAATACCACACAACACTATCCGAAGACAATTCGTATGCCGACTCCGTCGCACGTTACCATCGACGACAGGAACAGATTACATAGGCGTAACACTAGCAACAACCCAGGAAAATTCGCAGCAACCCGGAATTTCGCATTTCCGGGAGAAATTTGTTGTAATCCATAGAACGGCGAGCGGCGATCGGCGGATCGCGAGATTTCCGAGCGCCCGTCCCGACTTTCGACGAGCGACGATCGACGACCGGCGACGATAACGAGACAGTTTACGAGCGCGCGAGCAGCAACCGGTGGTCGTGCGTGACCGCGCGACGTTTAGCCGGCCCGTTGACCCATTTGCATCGGGGCCCCGCTGATTAGCACCGCGATCTCAAAATCGGTGGCACGCGAAACTCTCGAAAAAGTGAAAAAAAACGTCTGCGCGAGGCGGTTGAACAATCGCAAACAACTCGAATCAAGCCGAACGATCGATCCCCACGGCGTTGCGTCGTCGACGACGGGTAGCAACGGATTTCGAAACGGTCGCCGAGATTTTTCGCGGCTCGTGCGATGGTGTCGGATCGCGACCAATGGATCGCCGCTCGTTTCGCGGAATTAGTCCGCCGGCGAAATTAACGGCGGGATTTATTCGCTTTTGTCAGCGACGGCCGATCGAGCAGTGGCGCAAGCCATTGGCGCGCGGCGTCTCCGTTTCGATGACTGTGCGGCGCGCCTGACTCTCGCACCTGGACACCGTAAAACAAACCGCACGTGGCCGTCGTCGTCGTCGTCGTCGTCGTTACGCCGTTTACGCGGCCAACGGAGGGGGAGAACGCGTTCTTTTCGACATTGTGCGCACGAAGAAAGCGTACGATTTCGTAACCAGAACCTAGACACCGCCGCCGATCCAACACCTTCGGCGGCGCACGCGTTCCACTTTGTTCGCCGCTGACAATGGGAAAAGAGATAGAAGAGCTAGAAGAGCGCGCGCGCGCTCGCGCACTCGCTCGCATGCCAGGTCGTTAACTCTTTCAGAAGTTATAATGGAGTTTTCCGTGTACCCGGCCCCGGATTCGGATCTGGGTTAGGCTCGATTAGCTTCGGACCGAGCGCTACTTCAGCCGCGGTGGTTCCCGACGGTCGCCCCGACGGTGTACATACAGGGTGTCCCAAAAATGTCTCGCAATCCGAAAGTGGCGGGTTCCTCGTATTATTTGAAGCAACTTCTTCCTTTACAAAAATGTTCTCCGAGGCACCGTTAACGAGTTATTAACGAAAAACAGTGACCAATGAGAATCGAGTACGGCCGACGCGAGGCGGGCCAGTCAACCAGCGCGCGAAGCCCAGTTCCGCTCATTGGCTCGGTCGCCTTGCACCAGCCGAGCTCGCCTCTCCATTGGTCACTGTTTTTCGTTAATAACTCGTTAACGGTGCCTCGGAGAACATTTTTGTAAAGGAAAAAGTTGCTTCGAATGGTCTGAGGAACCCGCCACTTTCGGATTGAGAGGCATTTTTGGGACACCCTGTATATTAAGGTTGCATCGAACGCCGATGGTAATCGCGCCCGCGCGTTTACCACGCATTCAAATCGCCGCGTATTAATGCCCCGGCGTTTCACGGTTCCATTATGCGGAAACCGAGCGTACGCATTATACCGAGCCCCGGTTTTCTCCGTGGGACCCGATATACGCATATATTGGGTTGGCTATAAAATGGTAGATATTGCTACTTTTATAAAATATTGCGTTGGCAACTAAGTAATTGCCGATTTCAGTTATAGATGTCTCTCACTCCCATTTTTATGATATCCGTAAATGTTATATTATAAAATTATTATTCTTATTATTATTATGTTATTTTTTATTATCCGTGAGTGTTAGCAACTGGACAAATTGAATGCAGCGGTCAAGGAAAAGCGAGCAGAATTGGTCGATCGTAAAGGTGTCATTTTCCAGCAGGACAATGCTAGGCCGCACACGTCTTCGTTCACTCGGCAAAAATCGATGAATATTGGTTGGGAATTGATGTTACACCCACCATATAGCTCTGATCTCGCGCCATCGGATCACCACTTATTTCGATCCCTGGACAACTCCCTTCGTGGTAAAACTTTGAACGACGA